GTGCTGTGTGTGTGTGTGTGTGTGTGTGTGTGTGTGTGTGTGTGTGTGTGTGTGTGTGTGTGTGTGTGTGTGTGTGTGTGTGTGTGTGTGTGTGTGTGTGTGTGTGTGTGTGTGTGTGTGTGTGTGTGTGTGTAAGTATGTAAACCTCTTTAAACTTTTGAACGGTTGAACCGATTTCATCTTGGTTCGTGCCGTTCGAAAGAGTTTGGCCAAACTTAGATTTCCTCTCAATTTGAACCGTTTCGGACCGATAGATTTGAGAAATTTTGAGAAATCTCAAAAAAACTTTTTTCAAAAGTGGTTTTTTTGGAATAACTTTCAAACGGCTCTACCGAACGATTCTAAAAACTCATCAGCTCTTAACCTTGAAAAACCACGTCGATTGCCGCCAATCCGGTCAAAATCGGTTAATTCGTTCCAGAGATATCGTGAACGAAAGAAAATCGAGAAAAGTGTTTTTTCGGAGTTACTCCGAAATTTTTAGTCTGACCTATTGAAACTTAGAAATTCTTTATGAGGCTTAAAAAACTGCGTAGAATGCCGCCAACCGCGTAGAAATCGGTTCATTTATCCAAAAGTTATTGCGGTTTGAAAATTCAATAAATAGTGTTCTATGAAACTTCTATCAGACTTTTGAGCTCAAATAGCTCAAAAGCATAGAAAAGGTATCTTTTTGAGCTCGGAGAGCTCAAAACAACACACAGATTGTATTTTTGAGCTCGAAGAGCTCAAAAGCTTCGTAGGTGCAATTTTAAGCGCCCAGGTATTAACGGAATTAGCGGGAAGTTGCAGGGATGGTCTTTAGGGTCAACCGTTTTCCTAATTTTTTTTTTCTTAGTAGTACATGGAGATTACTGCATAATGGTCACTAAAAATTCGTTGACATTTATTTTTCGTTTTCTGGTTGTAGACATCAAGGAGAACGAAGCTGTCTTAGATGTAGAAGATGATTTACCTGAAGAGCTAGCAAACATTTTGGGAGAAAATCCATCTAAACTAAATTGATTAGATATAAATTTACACCCGAGGATCAAGTCTCGCCCAAAATACTGGGTCAAAAAAGGGCTCAGGGCATCAAAGCGGGAAGAGTTGCTCCAAAAATATAAACGCTCGAAAGTGTTAAAAGCTTCAAAGATTAACGCGGCAATTGAGATATAATTGTCTGCAATTGCATAGAAACGCGATACCTTCCGGGTAGAAGCTCAGAATTCAATCGGATCAGCCGTGATAGCTGTTGGAGCGGTGGCGTCGACTCATATCGGAGACAGAAAGCATTGACGTCAAAGATTACTTCGAGAAGCTTTTTGAGGCGACCAAGATTATAGCTGATGCCTTCTATCAGCGGTCAGTGTCAAGAAAGGCGACTATCACGCCAGCCTTCGACAAGTCCACTAAAGATATCCTAGATAAAGCCAAGTCAGACGAATATCTATTTTCCAGGAGTCTTCAACCTTTGTTGGTCATACCGTTCTTCGCGGAGAAACTGGGATTATTTGTAGCTTCGACGCTAAAAGCTTACATAGAGGCTTCTTAAAAAGCAAGAAGCAACCTACCAGATCTATTCATTTCCGTGAAAAGACCATTCAAAGCGGTTTCCAGTCAAACGGTTAGTCGCTGAATGAAGGTGATTTTATCAGATAGCAGCATTTATCAGAGGTGTTAACTTGGAGACGATCAGAACGACGGTGTGGTGGTCGATAGAATCAGAAATGTTTGCGAAAATTTATAATAGACCGATCACATCGGACAATCAAAGCTTTGCAAAAGCAATTTTGGGTATAGACAATTAAACAAGTGGTTTATTCATCATTTATCATAATTAAAAGGTTTTTTCATTATATTATGAAAGGATTGTATGCATAATAGAAAAAAATGAAAGAAAAAATTATTGTGTGGTTTTATGAAACCACGATGCAAGTGAAACTTTTTTTGGATCGTTGACATTCTACTAAAAATTTTCAGAAAATTAATCAATTTAGGGTTTTAAAATTTCGTTTTTAATCCTGACTTGATAATTGGTAAATGAAAAGGGTCAGCCTAGGGGATGTTGCCGCGATTGTGCGTATAGTCATTAACGGATCTTAATGAAATTTAGTACACATGTTACTCAGACAAATATCTCAAATAAGTTTAAAGATTAGTTAAGTAGGTCAATAAATTTAGAAATAATAGCTGTTTGAATTTTTCTGAAGATAGTGGAAGTTGCATTTTCTGTCTTGTTATTTAAAAAAAAAATTAAATTGAAATAAGATAGCTTATTATTGAAGTTATACTTGTTTTGGCGCGTTTAGATGAGAGTGAAATTTTTGAATTGCACGCGCATGATGTCCCAAAAAAGCGACATGATGAAGTTGGCCATCTAATATAATTAAAAATATAGATTTCTTTTACTGACTAAGTTAACTCATATATAAGTATCCATCGAAACATTGTTATTTTTAAATTCGATAGAAATATCATTTAATATGAAATATATTATCCATATTATTATAATCAATTCTAAAAAAGGTCAATTAAATATTTTACTTTTTATTTAACTTGGTAATAATTTCTTTTTAATAAATATTATTTTAAAAATAATAACAATTTCATGAATTAAAATACTTGAACTAAAATATAAATATTGTAGTAAGGTAAAAGCCCTAGTAGCTGCTCATGGACCAGTATATGCTCACTCCATGTATTTGTGTATCTATATTCACAAATATAGATATACAAATACATGAAGTGAGCATGTACTGATACATGAGCGGCTACTGGGGTTCTAACCTTACCTATTACATTTAGGTATCTTTTTATTGAATTCATAATTTTTTAATACAGGCTTAATTATTTTGTTTATCAAATCTAGTAATTCTATCCATATTTTCTCAAATTTATATAATAGACCATTTTAATAATTTTTCGGAATTTTATTGGAAACAAAATCTAGTTTTGTACTATAATATTTGTAAGTTTTTTAATTCTTGTAATTAATATTATTTTTAAAAAAATAATAATTAAAAAGATACTATCAATAAGTTAAATAATTAATAATGAACTATTTTATAAGATACATAAATTTTAAATAAATAATTTAAATATTTTATAGTTATCAATTGGTTTCCCAATTAAATATTGGTTTCCCACCCAGCAAAATTTAGCTTGACTAATTTTGCAACACCCTACCTAGGTACTAATCTTAAGTTAGCGGAATTTTTTGAGTTCACTTAGTGTGACTCTAAGAGTATGAGAAGGTGAGTATATAGCAGCAGCAGCAGAGAGGTTCTTTTTCTCTCTTTTAATGTTGTGCACTCTGGCGAGCTAAGAGGTAACTTAGCTACATGGTTAATATAAATATAATATATTTTTCAGCTACATGGTTAACCCTTCGGAGGTCGCATAATGAGCGCGGCGCCGCCTTTTTTGCATTTTTTTTTCTCGAAATTGAGTTCATTGATAATTTTGAAAAAAATTAAGTGCATTCTTTTAACCTTTCTAAAAATTGTGACGTTATTAAAAAGCATAAAAATATTTACGAAGTAATTTAAAAAATCAATTTTCGGAACCAGGCGGTGGTATGCCGCCCGGTGCGACTGAGCCTCCGGGAGATTTTCTAACTGCGCTGTTGCCAAATGTCGTTACCGCCACTATTTCAATCTGTTTTACTGCATCTGTTTTACTGTTTACATTATAACTTGTGATTTGTTGAAAATAATGTAATAATTACACTCATATTAAATATTATTTAGATAAAAATAGTAATAATAATACAATTGGTAGATAAATTATTTTATAATACACCATACTAAAATTAACAGATTTCTGGCTTTATATATGACTAATTATTTAAATAAAGAAAAAACAAAAAAATTTCAAGTGAACGAATTAAAAAAAAAAAAAATAGATGCCAATTTTTCAAATTATTTTTTTTGATTGAATTTAATTATAATTATAATAATTAATTTAGCGGATATTTCATAATTTTAAGAATTTTTGTAACAAATAAATTATGACAAAAAATAATTATAAAAAAAATTAACATTGAGAAGTTTTAAAAAATTAAAGATGCAATTTTTTAAAAATAATTTTTTTAAAGAAATTTGTTTGTTACAAAAAATTGAAAAATTGTCAAGTGACAGCTAGATTTAATGTTATATTATAATTTTACAATCTGGTCTTAGATGTTAAATTTAATAATGTCACATGTGATCAAAATAAAAAAAAATTTTGTTATTCAATTAAATTTATGATAAAATATAAAAGTAAAATTACATTTAATCATGAAACATTGAAAAAATACTTTGTCTCACAAAGAAATAGTATTAGTTTACATTTGGTAACAGCGCGTACGTTTTAACACGGCGGCGGAGCGCTCACCATGCGACCGACTTAGTTCGGAAAAGACACGCTACCTACGAAGGGTTAATATAAATATAAAATTCTTTATAATCTTTCGAACGAAGCTTTTTGTATAATTACGATCAAACTTCGCACGCCTTCGGCGTGCTCGTTTAATCGTTAGATTATCGAATCTTCAATCAAATCTTGATCATCTATTAAATTTTTTAATTAAATATCTATCGATAATTTATCAGAAAGAAACTAAATAATCATTCAATATTTATTGACTTATTATTATTCTAACGAGTTCTTAATCCGAGGTTTAAAATGTTGAAGATTTTTGAGATTCATTGTTTTTACTGAAACTTAAATTATGAATTTTTCAAAATATGGTGAAAATGTCATATCTAATTGCTTCTAGAATCATAAAAATTTTTAATCGAAATATTTTTAACTGACAACAAAAGAACATTGTTCTTAATTGTAAGAAAAAAAAAATTTATAAATGTATATTTGGCATTTTTTAATACTCCAAAAAATCAGATGTTAAATTGAAAATTTGTTTGTTTCATCGTACGAAACTTGCGTTAGAATTAATAAAATTAAAGGGTACCTAAAAGTAAATGTCAGCCATCCCATATTTCCAGCGTCCCGTCCTTGCCAAAAGTAAACAATGCATTGAAAATCATCTTCTACGTGTTTGCCATCGTCATTGTCGGCCATTTCAAGTGGCTGAAATTGAAATACATGTTTTATATATTACGAATGAATAACATTTGTAAAGATTCATATTCAATCGAATTGTTTCGAATATTCCTAGGTTTTTAAGGGGAATGGCCACTGTGAGAATCGAAAAAATAGGTGATTTTCGGGAATTTTTTTGACTGGGATAATAAAGAAATTTGGGAATCGGGTTTTTTAGTAGATTTCATAGAAATCTAACTATTGCATTGTTCCTCATCACGGAACTTTTGAAAAATTTTGCTATATTTCGACTCAGCTCGTCAAGCGGATTCAGAAAATGCATATGGTTCAAAAGTTTATGTATGTATATAATAGGGTGTGCCAAAATGTAACTCCCGTGGAGGACCTTTTAGAATTGGAATTTTGAGTTCCGCTTTTAAAAACAGCTCTGTTGAGGTCTTTCCTAAGATATTTTGGATTGAGACGATAAATTTGATTTTCATAGAATTTTTTAACCGGAGCTTAGTTTGGGCACTTCCGCTGAAAATTCAAATTTTGGCCGGAAGTGTCCAACTAAACCTCCTGCTAAAAAATTCTATGAAAATCAAATTTATCGTCTCAATCCAAAATATCTTAGGAAAGACCTCAACAGAGCTGTTTTTAAAAGCGGAACTCAAAATTCCAATTCTAAAAGGTCCTCCACGGGAGTTACATTTTGGCACACCCTAATACATATGAGGAGCTTATTTTCAAAGGGGTATCTTTTGATTTTTGATTAATCGAGACAAAAAACTAGTTATCTTCAATTATAAATATTTGTATTGAACTTTTTTTAATTTAGCTATAAAATG